GATTGTTAGTAATGAAGACTAAGAATCAAAAAAGAGCTAGCAATATTAGGTATATTACCAGGTTGACCTCCATGCGGTTGCCCCTGGAAACTATCATGGTTAATTCCTGATGAATTCATCATGATGGGCTAACTGGCCTGTTTTCATTCTCATCTATCACCCTTCACTGGTGCCCCGCCAGCAAATACCGTTAGCGCAGGTAGGGTTATGTTACTATTCCATTTTCACCTATCAAAAAATGTGAAGTTGGAGGGGGATGTAGGGGTTGTAAGTGATGCGAACTAACAGTCTCATTGCCAGCAATTTACCCTGTCAGGTCAACCTCTATGTGGACCCCTTGGAAACCATTGTACTGAATTCTAGGTGTCATTCATCACAATTGGCTAACTGAGCTTTTTTTTTATACAACTTAGAATGGCAAATAAGCTGACGCCCCACCTGATGGAAAGTGGTAACCGTCGCCTATAGACATGAGCAGTACCATGGGCATAACAGAGTGTACTGTTTCGCCCATGATACCCTCCTTGCGTTGCCATTCCTAAGGACTCAGGTGTTATTCCTCTGCACCCTGTAAATTCACGCCATATCCCACCCTTCAAACCGAAACACACCTATGCAAACACAACTGCTTCACGGTAGGAACACGAATGGGACAGAGGTACCCAAGCAATCGACTTTTGTACAAAGTCTCCCTCTGGTAAAAGGCCTTAGAGATGTTTAAAGATGGACGCTGCTGCCCATCCCTCGCCTTCCCTTAGTTGTCTTGTTCCATTGTCTCTTACGACATCTACAGTAAAGGAAGGGGTGGCTTATCCTATGACGGAACCATACGGCCAAATTTAAATATATAAATAAAATATATAAATTGCCAAAAGACGAACCCCATAATTGCAAAAAAAAATCGGATCCAAATTTACGAGGATATCGTTTAACATACACACGAAAAAAATCAGTCGAATCAAGAACAACCTCCTTTTCAACCGACTTCAAAAAAAGCAAGTTCTCAATTCGGTTCTATTATTTTTTTAATATTTATTACCCCTATTACAACTGACGTAGTTATGTCAGTTCTGAATTTGATTTGAAACATTCTTTTATCTGAAAGTTAATATACTTACACATTAGTCCCATAGAAATCTTACCAAAATCGGCCCCGTACTATAGATTTCTAGACTAAAATAACAAGTTTTTTTTTTGTGGAACACAATCTTTAATTATGGAAGCGTCTAGAAACATTTTTATAAAGAATTAAAACCTCTTTATTACTTAGTGTTGTCTTTATTAATGCAAATATTATAAATGTATTAAAACTCAAACGAAACATACCACGCGTTACTTTTATCTGTTACAAATAGACATAACTAGCGTTTCTTTTTCTTTATGCAACTTAGAATGGCAAACAAGCTGACGGCCCACCTGATGGAAAGTGGTAACCGTCGCCTATAGACATGAGCAGTACCATGGACATAACAGAGTATACTGTTTCGCCCATGATACCCCCCATGCGTTGCCATTCCTGAGGACTCAGGTGTTATTCCTCTGTACCCACACCCTTCACAAAATGGGACAGAGGTACCCAAGCAATCGACTTTTGTACAAAGTCTCTCTCTGGTGAAACACATACATATAGATAAATAGATAATTTATTTGCATTACTTACAGCTACAGTACACAAAACACAACAAATATAGATAGACATCGTGTGTTCCGGCATAGAATGGGCCACCCTTTCCTTTCCCGTGGATGTCGTAAGCGTCTAAAGGAGGGTCGGACAGCAGCGTCCCTCTTAAAACATCTCTAAAAGTCTAACTGCGTTCGCCAACCCGCCTGCCAAGCGTGACAACTACTGGCAAAACTCCTTTTATGGGAAAAGCTTATATTCTGCAGTGGACATATCCTGGGCATATGAATTAAGGTAGATATTTTTTTTCTCACTTTGCTTTTAATCTTGCTGGTTACTCTGAGTTATAAATTGTTTCATTCGCTCTTCTAATATAGTTAATTGTTTGTTATAGTAATATTTATGTATTTATTTGATATATTACGTGTATATTTATATTAGTCTAATTATATGTTTATAACATATATCAATATATTTTTTTTTATGGGTGAAAATGGTATGGTAACCCCGCCTGCGCTAACGGAATACGCTGGCGGAGCACCAGTGAAGGGTGATAGATGAGAATGAAAACAAACCAGTTAGCCCATCATGATGAATTCATCAGGAATTAACCATGATAGTTTCCAGGGAGAACCGCGAGGAGGTCGACCTGGTTGGGTATATTGCTAGCAATGGGATTCTCAGTCTCCATCACTAACAATCCCTTTTCCCCCTATATCGATATATTAAGTATTACTTTCTATATTTTCTCCATGCAATAACGCATCGTCTACTTATTTCTCGGTTTGTCCAGTGGGTGACTGGTAGAGTAAAACCGTTCGGTGTTAAATCCACCATATGTACATAATGTCACTGTGCATTAAAGTTTAAATAAATGAAAGCTAATATTAAATAAAGAAACAAACCTGATGAGACACTTCGATAAAGGCGAAATCGCATGGCGGCGTATCGCACTGTGTGATCTGTCCACAGTGCATCAGGCCGAACATTCCGAAACACTACCGGTACTCTTGTATACACGTGTGCGTTGTTACGCATATCGCTTACCACTCACCAAGCAAGGTCGATTGGTCGGTAAAAATGCACCGATATTGCATCAATTACAGTAATAAAGTATTTTTTTAATGGATGATAGAGGAATGGTAACCCCACCCGCGCTGTCGGTATACACCGGCGGGGCACCAGTGAAGGATGATAGATGAGGATAAAGCAGATCAGTTAGCCCATCGTGATGAATTCAACAAGAATTGTTCATGATGGTTTCCAGGGGGAACCACGTGGAGGTCGACCTAATATTGCTAGCAATAGGGCTGTCAAAACTCCATTGCTAACAATCACTTTCCCCCAGTAATAAGGTATTGATACATTATAATGTAAATGCAACTTCGAATACCAGGGAGGAGAAGGGATTGTTAATAATGGCCCGATTGCTAGCAATAGCAGGTTAGGATGGTGGGATTACCATTTCATTATCATTCATTAAAAGAAAACATGTCTAACACATAAAAAAACTACTACAGTAATATTCCACATATAATAATTTTAAATACCTTACAAAATATATTGTAATATGACAATATAATACATAAAAAGAAAAACAATATTAATCTTCAATAGTAATTTTCTTTTAAAGAAACTGCCTTGGTGCACTGAACCCCTAACAGATGGAGCCCCTAGTTACCTACACTGCCTAATGGATAATCCAACCCTGCTGTCATAGCTCTAATATGTCATTAATAGGCACAAGTGTGATTTGTGAGTGTATTTGTATTTGTAACTTTGTGTTTTTGTCAAATAAAATAAATAAACAAATAAATAAAATAAATAAGCAAGTAAATAAAATAAATAAACAAATAAATAAAATAAATAAACAAGTAAATAAAATAAATAAACAAATAAATAAAATAAATAAGTCTCTGAATGTGATTTAATTCTAAAATATAATTCCATAGTATCAGTTAATTCCTAATTATTAAAATCAATTCTATATTTAAAGCTTATCTGTAATTGATTGTGTAGCCTTTAATTGTATTTATTTTAATGTATAATGGAATGGTAACCCCGCCTGCGCTATTGGTATACTCTAGCGGGGCACCAGTGAGGGATGATAAGTGAAGATGAAGCAGGTCAGTTAGCCCATCGTGACAAATTTACCAATGAATCAATCACAATGGTTTCCAGGAGGAACTGCACGGAGATCGACCTAATAGGGTATATTGCTAGTAATAGGGTTGCTAATTCCTATTACTAACAATCCCTTTCCCCCCCTTAATCATATTTTTTTTTTTGATGAAAATGGATTGGTAACTCTGCCTGCGCTAACAGGATACGCTGGCGGAGCACCAGTGAAGGGTGATAGATGAGAATGAAAACAGGCCAGTTAGCCTATCAGGAATTAATCATGATAGTTACCAGGGGGAACTGCATGGAGCTCGACCTGGTTAGGTATATTGCTAGCAATGGGATTTTTAGTCTCTATTGCTAACAATCCCTTTCCCCCCCCCCTTAATCATATTAGGACACACAGCACACACACAGCCTGATGTAGAATTTTTTAAGGTAAAAAAATTCAAAATTTTTACTTTATACAACTCAAATACTAAATATTATTTCAAAATCACACAATAGTGATAATTTCAGATAAAAGTTTACAGTAATTACAATACAATAATTTTTAATAATTGTAAAAAAAGGAGGTTAAAATTCTAGGTTTATTTATTTTTTATACAACATAGAATGACTTAATGCTTTTAGCATTGAGTCCACCATATACACATATTTGTACTAATGAATAAATAAATAAATGACAAATAGGTTGATGGCTCACCTAATGGAAAGTGGTAACCATTGCCTGTAGACATGAACAGTACCATAGATAAAATCCATTATGTATACTATGTTGCCCATGATACCCCGCATGTGTTTCATTTATGAGTTACATAAATGATAATAGGATTTGTGTTATATAATCTCTTTTTCTGAGAGTATATTTTTATTGGACTGAACATTTACAAATGGTAAATACTGTTTTGATTCAGTATCCAACAGGATTTATTTTTATTTTTTTAAAGTTGAAATCACACAACAAAAAAAGTTACATAGAAAAAATAAACCTAATTTATTTATACAAAATATACTTCTTAATCAGTATTCTTTTATATATCAATTACATTTTATTAGACTAATGCAAAACTGCAAACAGCTTTGCCACCTATAGTTGAGTTGATACTTGTTACAATTGATTATTTTTCTAAACACTTGTGTTCCTTATTTAAAACTAATTAACACCAAATATCTTTAATTCATTATATCAGTTTGAAATATAAGTGGGTGTCATTAAATTATGTAAATAGGGTTAAAAAAATTACTTAACACATACCTAATAGTGGTCTTCTGGGATCATCCAAATCCATAACGAACTATGCATAAAATTTACGTATTGTAAAATATATTTTCCATTTGATTAACTTATCTAAGCAACTAACTAACTATGCCGTAAAAGCCGTTGCTAAAGCAATTAATATTTTGTTTTTGTTTACTAATAAAAACTATGAAAGTTATCAAACATATGAACCAAATTGAACTCTGTAGACTTAACAGTTTGAAATTGTCTACATTGTGAATGTCATTTCTGACATTTCAGAAATGTCACTTTATATCTAAAGACCGTGATACACATGCTACATGCAAAACCTTTAATATATGCTATGGTAATAATATAGACCTTTTTACTTGAATAACACTATATAAAGTTTGACTATTATTATATTTTTTATACAATTTATCAATACCCAGTTAAACAGTATACATAAATTCAGTTTTCATTTCTAACTCATAATTTTCAAATTAATACAAAAACATATCTTCTGTATATGAAAAACTTACTATTTATTTTTAAAGTACTGTACTGACATAATTCATCTGCATCCATTCAGAGTCGTTCAGAGCTTCTTCCTAATATTGTACTAACTGTACATTTAAAAAAGATTGACTGCTCATTTATTTTTAAGTACTTTAACTTAGATACTATATTATATATATATATATATATATATATATATATATATATATATATATATATATATATATATATATATATATATATATATATATATATATATATATAAGCTTTAAGTATGACAAGACAGGGCTGTAAGCTATTAAAACCAAAGAATGGCGCTTACAAATATATATGTACTCGTATAAATGTAGAATGCTGATCTATTGGATGAAAGCACAACTTGAATTGATACTGACAACGCCAAAAAAGTCAACAATATGTCATCTTGAATGATCGAGTTTAATTTAAAATCTTGTTGCAAATATTTCAAGTAAAATAAGTTTTAATAATTTAAAAATTAGAGCAGAAAATAGAACTATCAAAAATAGCGCTATCAAGGACACTATATAGTCGCCATATTGATTTTTCAAGCAACTTCAAAAAGAAACCATTTCTAAATTCGATTGCTATTTCACACACATGAACCCTAAAACATTATACTTCTTCTTTGAGCAGGTTTTGAGCCATTGACAAAACTATTTAAATATTACATTATTGATTTAAATTATATATTATCAACATTGGGTATTATTGTTCTTGATTAAGAAATCAATCAATCAAAAGGCGCCAAGCGCAAAAATGTGCTTGGCACAGACTTCAAACAGAGAACAGCAGATAACACATCATTTTAATAATATTTTATTTAAATTAATAGGTTTATTAATAGGTAGTCAGGTTGTTTATCTTTTTTAAAGAGGTTTTATTTATTTTCGTTTCATCTTTTTTTTAAGACGGTTTAATTTTTAAAATAAGATTGTTTATCCTGAGCAGATCTTAAATTATTCTTAAACGAAGGCAAAGTCGGCCCACTAGTACCTATTATATGAATTACGCAAACGTTTGTCGAGCATTGATCGTTAAGTAGGACGGCACGGGTCTCGAACCTGGTACTGGGGACAGATAACCCTACGCCGGACTAGCGGCCGGTTCGATTCGGTTTACATACTCACATACGACTTTCTGGACTTGAGATTAAACTAAATTCCAATGTTGGTTAGGTATATATACTCACAAATCAAGAATGAAGTTTCATATGTAGATATATATTATAGTAAACTAAACGATGTTAAACTGTATTATATATATACTAGCTGACTCGGCAAACGTTGTTTTACCATATACATTATTTCGAGAACTATACATGAAATTTTGTCGTACTACAATTATTATATTCGATTGCCATCTTACAACCCTATTGCGGCATATAAAAATCGCGATTAAAAACAGGGGTTGATCGTAAATGCGTGAAAATTTGAATTTGTATTTTTCAATACTAAATCATAATTAAATAAAAATAAAAAATTTAGTCAAAAAATAAAAAAAAAATTTAAGGGTGGGTTACCCTTATCATTGTGGGGTATAGAAAATAGATGTTGGCCGATTCTCAGACCTACCCGATATGCACACAAAATTTCATTATAATCGGTAAAGCCGTTTCGGAGGAGTTTGGTAACAAACACCGCGACACGAGAATTTTATATATTAGAGATATTGTATTTATATCTACTTGAACAACGTATATAGTTTGAGTTTAAAGTGCGAATTCTTTAGATAATGCCTATAAATTGTTATGAAAACATTTCTGAATGTTTACCCTATAATTGGAAATGTTAATTAGTAAATAGATTAAAAATTATTTTTTTTGACAAGAGACCAAAAAATGAAAACAAGCAGTGAATAATAACAGGAAGTGTGTATTTGTATATTATGCACACACCTCGACCTTGCATGCGCTCAGATTCGCGAATGAGTTAAAAGTTAGTAAAAGATATTTATAAAGATATTTACCAGAGGGAGGCTTTGTACAAAAGGTGTTTGCTTAGGTACCTCTGTCCCATTCGTGTTTCAACCGTAAAGCAGTTGTTTTTCGGTTTGAAGGGTGGGATATGGGGTGAATTTACAGGGTACAGAGGAATAACACCTGAGTCCTCAGGAATGGCAACGCATGGGGGGTATCATGGGCGAAACAGTATACTCTGTTATGTACATGGTACTGCTCATGTCTATAGGCGACGGTTACCACTTTCCATCAGGTGGGCCGTCAGCTTGTTTCCCATTCTAAGTTGTATAAAAAATAATAATAATAATATGCTTTTAATAACTTTACGAACTTGAACTGTCGCCCATATCGATATACTCGTACTCGGACACAAAGACACCGGTTTTATCCAGTTTTCGAGTTAATATGTAGTCGCAAATCGGAGTGAACAGGCATTTTTCAACTATGAAACAGCAATTATCTTACCAATGTATTTATTTAAACTTTAATACACAATATGTACATTCGGCGGACTTAACAATGAATGATATTCTCTACCAGTCATCCATTGGGCAAACAGAAAAATTTGTGAATTGAGTGCATTTATGAATTGAGGAACAATAAAGTAAAAATAATTAGACACAAAATATGTGATATAAATAAATATTTCTCAAACATGCTTGAAAATGTGAGCATTATTTTGACAATCTTCTTCGAGATAAATCAAAATTGCCATACTGGCCAAGATATATGCGGGCAGCGGCCGGCAAAAGTTGTATGAAAATCCATATCTGTTGTGCTTTGCGGTGAGATAAATTACTATGTAAACTCATATCTGTCCTGTAATTTAAAAATGGAATGACCTTTTACTTCGAAACATGGCTACCAAGGAGGTAACTAATAAAAGGTTTTATTTAAATTTCAAACTGGCTTGAAAACAGAAAGCTGTTTATTGAAAAAAAAAACAAAAGAACATTATGGCGCGTGAAAAATTATTATTGTTCGTTTTTTAAGAGAGACGCTGCTGCCTATCCTTCGGCTTCCCTTAGTTGCCTCTTACGACACGGGTTAGGAAGGGATGGCCTATTCTATGCCATGACCACACAGCTAAATGCGTTGTTTACACATACATTTACACAAATAAACCTGACTTTATCCTCACCTATTATGGTTCCCTGGTATTCCGCTAACGTAAATCAATAGAAAAGACACGATTTTGAAGACACAGAATCTAGTTCTTTCTACCCATGACAGAGCATCCTGGTGCAAAAAAGACCCGACCCCAGTGCTGGGATTAAGGATTAGAGGAAGAAGAAGAAGAAGTAAATATTGTTTAATTGGGTGCCTTTTAGTACGCGTGCCTGACTTGCACTTGACCTGTTTATGTATACTTAAGGTCACAAGGTACCTCGTTAATATACGAATAGATATACTCGTAATAAACACACCCATATCATTCCGCGTCTTTCATACTTATTATATACTACTAGTATATTTTTTACTTTAGCATTTAATTAACTTCGAGTGATTTGATAAAAATACATTATAATTAATTTTTAATGCGCACACACAGATATATTTAATATAGGCAGGACAGCGATAACACTGCAAGCGTCCGTCCTCATTTTCCTTAGAACAACAAAATTTACGTCAATTTATATTATAATAACATATATAAAATGTTTGTGTTGAAAAAACCTTCTCGTAAGAAACAATAATATATTATTTACGTCATAAACACATAGGTCATATGTGACGGTATCAGAAATATCACATCAATCTGCTGATAATGATATACCAGTATTACTGAATACTGGTGACAACTGTTGGTCAACACGATCTGGTATTGCATAGTGTAACAATTGATTTTTTTTTATTTTTTTTTTTTTACTCAACTAGGTGTTATGTTGCGGAAGTGCACATAACGAGTGATGTGGACTTCACTAGAAGCCATTTTTGATCATTATGTTCATTTGAGATGTTGTTTATAATTGCAAATAAAGAAAAAAATCGACTGGTTGTTTGATTTGAATTATTTTGTTTAATTCCACTACCATTAGTATGTGACTGCAAATACTCGAAGTTTGAGCATCACTATTACTGCCAGAAATTCCAACCTTCCATATTAGCTATCAATTTCCGACTGCTACTCCGTCCACGCACATTCTGCAGAACTAGCTAGTAGCGGAATTAAACAAAATAATTCTAATGAAATAACCAATTGATTTTTTCTTCTTTTGCATTTATAGTCAACTTCTAAAATGAACGTAATGATAAAAAATAGCTTCTAAATCTTTAAAATTGCTTCTACTCAAGTCTATTTAAGTGTTTATTAGTATTTAAGCCTATTCTATTTTATCTACTTGCAGCGACTACCATCAACACAAGAATAAATCCATTCGATGTAAAATACAGTTAAATTAAGATTCATCCATTACTTTACTCGAAAAAAAAAACTGTTAAAAATAGCCATCAAACAAAAATGTAAATTTGCACTAGGAATTATCAAAATGAGTTAAAAAATGACTTGAGAACCTTTTTCTTAGAACCGTTTGTAAATATTTTTGATAGGATATTAATAGGTAATTTTGCTTTGACAAGATTAGATAGATACGGAGTCTTATCGTTTTCATTTAATTGTGTTTAAAAAGGAGGGTCAACATAACGCCGAAGTGGCACGCCTCTGTTTATTTTTGCTTGTACATTCAGTAATGCGCATCTAGTCTAGTGTAACAGCACCGAACGTGTTGCGTCAGACAAATGCGACCGGACAAATAACGCGACAATGTTTACAAACACACCTGCGTGCGTCGGCCATGCGCTTACTCTTCAAACATGGCGGCAGGTAACGACCGAACTGCATGCAAAATTGGCGGGAATATTAGGGTTTTTTTTTTATTCAATTTTTTTTACTAAATTGCCATATAAAACTTATTTCTCTATATAATGTGCTTTATAAAGAACCGATATGGAAGTATAGATAAATTGCCTCGTTATGAATTACATTGGATTGAGTTTTTTTATAGAAAATTGTCCGGAAGTCCGGAACTACACAAAGGTTGTCTGGAAAAGATTACTTAACGTTAAGGCCGATTTTTGTATTATTTCTCATTAAAATTTACTGTATTTATTATTTTTATTAATAGTGCAATAAATTGTAAATAAATAAACTATGTTATGTTAGAGACATTCGGAATTAATGATAAATAAAAATAATAACAATGTTAATTAAAAAAAAGATCTTAAACTTGCCATCGTACGTATCATAAACAAGTGTAAATGAATGAAATTAACAGAAAAATAAATGTGACATTTCTATTTTTTTAATTTTTGTAAATATTTTTTCCTATGTGGAAATTTATTTCATTCATTTATTATTTATATGGCATTAATATTCAAATGTCAGTCTGTACTATCAAATGAACAGAATTAAGATTTATTCCTAAAAACATAATTGTAGTTTCTTAACTAATATTATTATAGTTTTAAAAGGGTACAATAGTTGTAGTTTTAGAACTGGGCTCATAAATAAATAGGTTAATGTAATAACCTGTTTTAAGGGATTGATATTGATAGACCTATAAACATAGATTAAGTATAACTACTGGTGTAGTGTTATATTCTTAGATTATAATAATACGGTATACCAAGTCTATGGTTATATCTTTATCTGTGGTATAACCTACTACGTTTATAATTTATGCCAATAAATTGTAGTTAATTTTTTCTATTGAAAATGACAATCGAGCTCGTGTTTTTTTGAATGATGAAAATGATAATTAAATTATATCATTTTAAAAATGTGAGATTTTTTTTATGTGACGCAATCGGATTACCATTTTCATCATTTTAAAAAGTCTTAGATGTTGATTGACGCTAACGGAATAGCAGAGTTATATTGATGAGAATAAGTACAATTGCCTTAGAACTTTTCTCTCTGTTCCCGTAGGATATCCAGTAAATTCTTTCTTAGTTTTTTTTTTAATGGATGATAAGGGAATGCTAACCCCGCCTGCGCTAACAGTATACGCTGGCGGGGCACTAGTAAGCGATGATAGTTGAGAATGAAAAGGCAAGTCAGTTAGCCCATCGTGATGAATACACCTGGAATTCAGCACAACTGTTTCCAAGGGGGACCACGTGGAGGTCGACCTGTATACCTAATTCTTTAAAAATTTCGTAAGCACACATTATATTTTTATGTAATAAGTTCCGCCTAACTGCGCGTGGTACTGGACTGTATTTGGACATTGCAAAATGACTTTATTTTTCTAAAATAAAAGATTTTTCTAATGTAGCCTAAGTTAGTCCTTATTACGTCAGTTACCTGCCAATAAAGTCCCATCAATATCGGTCCAGCCATTCCAGAGATTATCCGGAACAAGTAGATAGACAAAAATTGTAAAAATGTTATTTTGGTGCATGTACCGTATATATATTCATATACATGTAATAAAAAAACGGTTATATCAGTATTAAAAACAGACACTCCAATTTTATTTATATGTATACATTACCAGTTTCTATAAATTCTTTCTTGGTTTTTCATCCATCCAATCAAGTTTTGTGCCATGAAACAGCTGTACTTGAATGGTTGTGATTTAATTTGAAGGCAGTGTAATAAAAAAAAATATTTGTTTTTTATTTATTCATTAGTACATATATGTGTACATGGCGGACTTAATGCTGAAAGTATTCTCTCCCAGTCAACCATAGGCAAGTGTCAGAATACTCGAATGCGGTACTACTAATTATTGATATACATACATACTAAAATTACATATATAAACGAATAAATATATATGAATAACAAATATACTTACACATATATGATATATACTATATTATACACGAAATTAAGAATAATATAAAACACTTACTGCTCGGATAAAGATAAAAAGTTCGAAGGCATAAAACCATATTCCTAGGCAATAAACGTTTGAGTGGTCCAATGAATGGCACAATGCATTCTATGATACCCATGATTCACGACCGTAGTTTTTTTTTTCTTTTTCTAATTTCGAATGGACCTTTTGCTCGTTTAACATTTTAAATTTCATAAAAAAAGTAAACTTATGTAACTGTTTGTCTTGTTATCCCAGTCACAATTTGTCACATGGTTCATCAATATCTCTTTTTTAGGGGGGAAAGGGATTGTTAGTCATTACTAGCAATATACCCTCTCAAGTTGACCTCCTCGTGGTTCCCCCTGGAAACCATCATGTTTAATTCTTGTCGAATTCATCATGGTGGGCCAACTAACCTGCATTCATTCTCACCTATCATCCTCCACTGATGCCTCGTCGATGTTTACCGATAGCGCGAGTGGGGTTACCAATCCATTTTCATCCATTAAAAAAAAATCTCTTTTTAAATAGACTTCATTACTAAGAGTTATTTAATTTGTTTACTTGAATGACGTGCTTTCTTAGTCAATTTTAAACCGATTTTAATGATTTATTTTATACAATTTATATTTACAGATTCTAAGTAAATGTCTATATATTTATATATTTTATTATTGTTTCTTTTTGTATATTTTTTTAATTTGAAATTAATGAAGGTAGTGTTGGATCATTTTAAATATAATTAAATTAGTTATTTTGAGAGCACACTAATTAGTGAGAAACAATCGTTATAAAAAATAATTGGCAAAGATAATAATGTAACGCACAAACAATAAAGTACTGATGAACTTATCACGCGTTCTTTTTTAAAGTCGGTTAAAAATAAAGGCTGTAATCTATACATTAGGTATAAATAATGATGAAATACCTCCTCCACGTTACATATTTTAGATATATAAAATTCAATAGTAGCATTACATAATTGCACTATGCTATGCTATTAGTACATCGTATTGTGAAAGGGACAGTATTATTGTTTATATTGCTGTCTCACTTGCACCAGAAAGTATCACGTAAAGTGTTGGTATAGTTTCGTCAGAAACGCATGCCAAATTAAACGGACCTGTCGCATCATCCTTTCTCTAAAATCATTTCTATGAGAAAATATTTTCATAAACGTGTAAACAGCTTGCAGTTTTAAATGAACAGTATTTATTAAATAATTATATTTATAGCAATGGACGAGACCGTAGTTTAAATAGGTCTGCCTAAACCTCTTTTAAGAAATCCTTACAGTGTAGAGTTGTAAATGTGACTACTTAAATTTATGTTGTCCTAGTATTTCTCTACTTTTTATCAATACTATTTTTGTATCATAAAAAAAAATGTCTGTAGGCATTATGATAGTCCGTTATCAACAAACGTGATGATAGAATTTACAGAAATACACCAAAATTCACATTGCCCATGTATCATCAAATGATGATAGAGTGATGATTATTATAATAATATTAAATTTAAATTTTCTTTCATTATTTTTGTCTCATAAATTAAGCAACAGTCCAAAACGCACAAACTTTTTGGCGGCATCCCAAACCATGCGCTTGGTTAGACGTCAGACATATAAAACGCTCGCGAAGCTCTTTGCCGGCATTTCACGGCAAAACCTCGTCCCGTCAACTTGTCAATTACCCTCTTATCTATTAATTGCAATTATATACTATATTTTGTGACCAAAAAAAAAAAAACTCGTGCTAGTGCTGTGACATATATTATTTTTTTTTAGTTAACTTTTTCTCGGAAATAATTTAAAAAGGTAAGTGATTTATTAATTTGTAACTTTATAAATTTTATGTTTAGTTTATAGATATAAGAATTTTAAAGTTATTTATTATCAACTAATAATTTTTTATTGATAATGATTGATTTATTTAAGCTACATAAAGTGATAAGATTTCTTTGCTATCTCTGAGTACTACCTACCCTATTAGGAAGTAAAAGCCTACTCTCAACTTTTGTGAAGTTTACTTAATTTAAAGATAACAGACTGTCCTTGTTCTTGGGTTAACCATTCCCGGATGCAAGAAATAATATGAATCAATTAATATAATACTTGTTTGTCCAAAGTGCGTCTCTCATTACAGTGTTATTACATAAATATAATATAATTTAACAAAATAGAATTTTTTCCATCACGGCACTTAGAAAAGACTTCCCATCTACCTACACTACAATTCTATAAGTTTTTTTTTTTCTTTTTTGAGAATTTATTTACGATATCACTACATAGTATAAAACAAAATTAATTCCCGCCTGTCTGTCCCTATATGTGCTTAGATCTTTAAAACTACGCAACGGATTTTGATGCGTTTTTTTTAATAGATAGAGTGATTCAAGAGGAAGGTTTATATGTATAATACATGCATAATATAGTAGAGAAACACTGATAATTTTAGAGGTTTCTAATGTAATGTCGTAATATAACGGGGGGCCGGAGGTGCTATTTAGTATCAGCATTGCACCCGTACGAAGCTGGGGCGGGTCGCTAGTTTACTATAAATAACGTATTAGGCAAGCATAAGTGTATCATGTTTCAGATGTTTAGCAATCGAATTAAATTACAGATTTATTACAATATCATAAATATGACACATTGGCAATTATACGTTTTCTTTTTAAGAAGACATTAGGATATATATGTTTTATTTTCGATATCACTAAAAATATTACGTGTATATATCATATGATTAAGTGCGAATAACATAAACCCATTTCCTTTTGGGGTAGACAGACATAATTGAATGTTAAATGGTCGTAATAAAACAACAGTCGATTTTTAGAGTAGCTACGATTCATATAAGAATCTTTTTAACAAATCTTATCAATTATAGAAAACTAGCAACCTGCCCGACTTCGCACGGATAGTAGAGCGCATGTACTTACATTTTTTATAATCACTTTGTTTCGTTCAGTATGAATTATATGTTAATATTAATAGTAACATTTTATTTTACTTTAATAAAATATTTACTTTAATTAAATAAATAAATAAATTTTATTTTAATCTATACTTATAATAAATGTGTAGAGAGGTCAATTCTGTACATGAAATATATTTCCAAAATAACTATCAGGCGGTGATTAGTGATCGATACTGATGCCAAAAATGCAATGAGTAAAATTTTTGTCTATCTGTCTGTCTGTATGTTCATTATAGAAACAAAAACTACTCGACGGATTCTACCGAAACTTGGTACAATTATTCTTCATACTCCTGGGCAGGTTATAGTATACATTTCATCACGCTACGATCAATAGGAGCAGAGCAGTGAAGGGAAATGTTGGGAAAAACGGGAGAAGTTACTCCATTTTTAAACTTCCATCGCGTGTGCAGCCTTAATGGCCACTTTTTAAAATGTAAAATGTCCATCTGATCGACGCTGGGACTGGCTGCTAGTAATAAAATATGTAACATCTTTTATGTAACATCACACTGCTTGGTGTATTTTAAATATACTTAATTTTCTATCCTGCATGTATTTATTAATAATTAATACTATATCCCTCTAAATAGCTCTAACCATACCCTAATGCATATTGTAAGCTATGCTTAAAAGATGACATAAAACATTGTTTTGTTATATCTCAAACGGATTAGGCGACGTTATCGTTAAATTCTCCCTAACGGCTTGATTTTTTCGGACATTTTCAACAATCATCGTCATATTTCAATCAATTTACACAAAACCTTAACGAATTATACATCTAAACCTTCCTCCCTCTGATATATCCGTTTAATAGTTTTTGAGATCATCACGAACATATAGACAGAGGCGGAGGAGGATTCTATTTTCAAAAGACTTCAAAAAGAAGCAGGCGATAACATTTAGTTGTATTTATATTTGTTACCTCACAACTCTGTCAGCTGTAAACCGATTTAGAATTTTTTTTTTTCATTTGAAATGATAAACTTACAGTGGTTTTGTAGAAATTTCATCAATATCGTTTCAGTACTTTAGTTTTGAAAACAAAATAATCAGTTTTGCCACAATTGAAGTCGGTTATTTTGTGGAACACAAAAAGTAATCTTAAATTATATAATAGAGCGTTCGTGGTTCATAGTTCACCCCAAAGGTTAACTGGTAGAGAATGCCGCTAGCATAAAGTCCGCCTTCTGTACCACATTTTTTTTTGTCTTTTGATCAATCAAGTTATTTAAATAAATAATATGTTTATATAAATAGTGCGCCACCTACCCTTTGTCTTATTCTCAATGTCCTCTACCCAAAGGTTGTCTGGAAGAGATTGCTTAGCGATAAGGCCGCCTTTTGTATCACTTCTCATTAATATTTACTGTATTTGTTATTTCTCTTTTTACTTGGTGCAATAAAGTGTGAAATAAATAAATAAAATAAATAATATGTTGAAGAAAATCATGATAAATGTAAATATATATCGTATGATTAAGTGCGAATAAAATAAACATATTTCCCATTGTGGTAGACAGAAATAATCAAGCTTGTGGTCCATTTTTTGTTTCGCCTTCAATGTTGTGAAATTTAAGTGTTTATTTTTTATAAACAATTTTTTTTTTATACAACTCAGAATGGCAAACAAGCTGACGGCCCACCTGATGGAAAGTGGTAACGGTCGTCTATAGATATGAGCAGTACCATAGACATAACAGAGTATACTGTTTCGCCCATGACACCCCCCATGCGTTGCCATTCCTGAGGACTCAGGTGTTATTTCTCTATACCCAGTAAATTCGAGGGAACCGCTTGTGAGAGCATTTTCGTACTCATTTTTAGTTCTTTCACCATACACAATTTGTCATTAACTTCTCAAGGTTCACAAATTACTTTATTACTCTCAGTTAAGTCACATTGAGTGGCAGGACAGAATAGTTATTGTGTCTTAAGAAATTTCCCCATAAAGTATCGAAAAGTATGTGCCACGGTTTTCCAACCGCTCTTTTAACTATGTAAAATAGAAAAATTGAACTGTACAGACAAGTACACCAATATTAGTAAGCAATTGAAAGAAAAAAACAAAAAAAAACCGTAAGCATAAGAAGAGCTTGTTAGTAAAAGGGACTAGCAATCCCATTGATATATACTTTGTCAGGTCTACCTTCACGCGGTTCCAATTCAATGGTTTCTGTAAACCATTGTCACCTGCAATCATTTTGACGTATCATCTCTCACTGGTGTACCGCCAGTGCAGATGGAGTGGGGTTTCCATTCCATTTTCACCCAATAAATTCAAATCATCTATATCCAAATATACTTGTTTACAAGCAATTTAAAAATTGTCATTTTTTAATCTACTACAGGGTTCGGTAGATTGTTATTTGTTAAGAAGAGTCCGCAAGGAGCTCAACAGTTACTCTTTTAAATCTTTGTTAACATTATGTATATTGAGGGGAGAGGGATTGTTAGCAATGGAGTTTGACAGCCCCATTGCTAGCAATATGCCCTATTAGGTCGACCTCCACGTGGTTCCCCCTGGAAACCATCGTGAACAATTCTTGTTGAATTCGTCACTGTGGACTAACTGACTTGCTTCATCCTCACCTATCATCTCTCACTGGTGCCCCGCCAATGTATACCGACAGCGCGGGTGGGGTTACCATTCCATTATCATCCATTTAAAAGTAATAATAATATACATATATATAAAAAGATTCTCACAAAATCCCCGACAGAACGGCGTCGCAGTCGAAAAGTATATTGCTCAATGGCTGCTTATCTAGGGTCGTTTCCCGGTCAGCCAGCGGTATCACACCTATGTATGTACCCACTTATCATGATGCTCTCACAAGAGGTTCCTTCGGGTATCTAACATATTGTTTATAATAAACAAAAACACTTAAATTTCACAACACTATAATTGTCAAACAAAAAATGGAACACAAGCTTTGCTTTATAATTCTTTTTTTATTTTGGATCTGCCTTTTAATAAGTTTATTATCTGTCATTAAAACACTTTTATTTCTTATTACACGTGAGGATGAAGCAAGTCAGTTAGTCCACAGTGACGAATTCAACAAGAATTGTTCACGATGGTTTCCAGAGGGAACCACGTGGAGGTTTACCTAAGAAGGTATATTGCTAGCAATGGGGCTGTCAAACTCCATTGCTAACAATCCTTTTCCCCCTATACGTATATTATTATATCAACCGTTAACTGTCCACTGCTGGACCCAGGTTTAAGGGAGTTTTGCCAGTAGTTGCCAAGCGTGGGCAGAAGAATGGACAGCCGCAGTTAGGCTTTGGTGATGTTTTAAGACAAAAACTCTGCTGTCCATCCCTCGACCACTAAGTTCCGTTAGTTGCTTCTTACGACATCAACGGGAAAGTGAAGGCGACCTATTCTATGCTAGGACCACAGGAATGATATATTACGTTCGCCAAGCGAATGGTCATTTCATTATAATCATCATCATATCAGGCCTTAATCGTTTACTGCTAAACATAAGCCTCCCCCTTGGTTGCCACGCTTAGCAGGCGGATTAGCAACCGCGGTTAGGTTATAGAGATGTTTTAATAGAAATGCTGCTGCCCATCACTTGCCGACCCTTAGTCGCCACTTACGACACCCACGGGAAAAGAAGGGGTGGCAGGGGTGTTCTATGCCGGAACCACACGGCCATTATGGTTTATTTACAATTAAAAAATACAGACATCTGAGTGAGTTTTGAAAAAATATAAAACACCACATTTGGCTATAAAATTTAAAAGTAGCTCTCGATTATCTTGGGATCCCATCATCATCATCAGATCCAGAGGGAGACTTTGTACAAAAGTCGATTGCTTGGGTACCTCTGTCCCATTCGTGTTTCAACCGTGAAGCAGTTGTGTTTGCATGGCTGTGTTTCCATTTGAAGGGTGGGATATGGCGTGAATTTACTGGGTACAGAGGAATAACACCTAAGTCCTCAGGAATGGCAACGCATGGGGGGGGGGGGGGGTATCATGGGCGAAACAGTATACTCTGTTATGTCCATGGTACTGCTCATGTTTATAGGCGACGGTTACCACTTTCCATCAGGTGGGCCGTCAGCTTGTTTGCCATTCTAAGTTGTATAAAAAAAAAATCCAGACTTGGTGACAATAGGACAACAGAACTATACCTTTTTAAATAAAAAAATGAATTTGAAATCTGACCACAATTGACGGACAAATCGGTGGGGGCTTAAAAATATACAATCCAACATATAACCTCGACTTCTTTTCGACTTCGAAGTCGGTTAAAAAATTGACGTGACACATTGGTTTTATTAATCTAATAAAGTTTCCTTAATGAAGCGAATGTAGGAAATGCATCGTCCGTCGGTCACTAGTATGACTGGCTACGTTTGCAATCGAGTCATAGGTAGGTATATTGACGTAGCCTTGGATATATAGCGCGTGTGGTGCGTGTGGCCACTTTCCACGCAGACGGCGAGCTGCTGGCATGTCTCGATCGATCGATATGATGAAATAATGTAATCGATTACTGATTCGCGATAAGAACGTGTTTAGATGAGCAACGGTATAGGAATACCTGTGGATCTGCGCGTGCGCAGATTATCAAGATATTTAAAAGGAAATTGTTCAATTTATCTATTGAATCAACATATTCAGGTGGGAGATAAGAGATTGTTCGTAATGGCACTAAAGACCCCATTGCTAACAATATACCTTACCAGGTTGACCTCCACGCGGTTCCCCCTGGAAACCATCTTAATTATTTTTTTATTAATTCATTCACTATGCGCCATCTGACCCACTTTCATCCTCACCTGTCACCCTGGTGCCCCGCCAGTGTATACCGTTTTTTTTTTTATGGGTGAAAATGGTATGGTTACCCCGCCTGCGCTAACGGGATACGCTGGCGGAGCACCAGTGAAGGGTGATAGATGAGAATGAAAACAGGCCAGATAGCCCATCATGATGAATTCATTAGGAATTAACCATAATAGTTTCCAGGGAGAACCGCGAGGAGGTCGACATGGTTGGGTATATTGCTAGCAATGGTATACTCAGTCTCCATTACTAACACGCCCTTTCCCCCCTTAAAGTGTATACCGTTAGCCCAGGCGGGGTTACTATTCTATTATCATTTATTAAAAACAATATATATATTTAGCTCTAACTACGTATTACTTAATAAATAAGTATATCGTAACATATATATTATTATGTTAATATATTATATTTATGATGTACATTAGTATACTTATGTAGGGTAAGGATTGGCAGCAGCGTCCCTCTTAAAATATCACTAAAATGCGGTTGCTAAACCGCCTGTTAACCATGGCAACTACTGGCAAAACCCTTCAATATGGGAGGCCTGTGTTCACCAGTGAATCACTTAACGGGTGATATATTATTGGTTTATTTTAATTATTTTGATAATATACTATCCAATGAATTATTATTATGTGTGTAAAGCGGCTGACATCCAAAGCACATTTGTATTACAAAAAAGTGTAATTCGCGCAATTTGTTCTATGAGAAGTCGTGAATTATTAAGGCCTTATCTATCTCTCCCTTCAAAGTTTCAAACATATATATATGTATATATATATATATATATATATATATATATATATATATATATATATATATATATATATATATATATATGATGACAGTCTTCTAATCATTTTTTATATTTAAAATTGAAAAGATAGAATGATTTTTTTTTTGAAAGACCATTAACTATTCAATATTTATGCTAGACTGCATAAATATTGAATAGTTAATGGTGGTTTAATGGTGGAATCCTGTAAGGAATTGTTGACGACGATGATGACATATAGATGATACAATGATCTGTTATCATTTCATAGTTGTATCAACAGTAATCGAAATTTTCTTAGACCGCCTCTCTGTAACCGCACGTAAACAATATAAAAAGGTTAGGCGCGAGATAACGGTTTATTAAACCTAGTAACAATTATCAAATATACAATTATAATAATCATCAACATAGGTATTTAGTATTGTTATGACAAACACACCATTATACCTATATATATATATATATATATAATGTTTTTTTTTTCTTAAATAAATAGTAGATTAAATATTTTTTTATTGTACTCCCAGAGGGAGACTTTGTACAAAAGTCGATTGCTTGTGTATCTCTGTCGCATTCGTGTTTCAACCGTGAAGCAGTTGTATTTGCATTGCTGTGTTTCGGTTTGAAAGGTGGAATATGGCGTGAATTTACTGGGTACAGAGGAATATCACATGAGTCCTCAGGAATGGCAACGCAAGGGAGGTATCATGGGCGAAACAGTATACTCTGTTATGTCCATGGTTCTGCTCATGTCTATAGGCGACGGTTACCACTTTCCATCAGGTGGGCCGTCAGCTGGTTTGCCATTCTAAGTTGTATAAAAAAAAATACAAAAATCCACAGTTCTTAAAAAAATAACTTACATGCTAAGTCTCTTATAAATACTTCCAATAATGGATTTTATTTATAGTAAACGAAAATTATAATTCTAAAGCGAGGTAAGCAAGTTAGAATGTGTATGCAAGTAATAGAAGTGTATGTATGAAAGAAACTATGTATAACAGTGAGTGTCCATAAAGTGAGGTTAATTAATATACAAAATAAATAAAATTGATGTTGCTACAGTTCAGACATTTAAAATTGTTTTCTACAAAAAAATAAAGTCTATTTTTTTTTGTCATTTGTGTCAATTGTAGTCAAATTACGTAGTTATTTTAATTTAATAACTAAACTACCGGACCGATTTTGATAAAATATCTATAAAACCAATCTGTAAATATATATATATATATATATATATATATATATATATATATATATATATATATATATATATATATATATATATATATATATATATATATATATACTATCCTTTTTTTAAAAATATTTTTTTGTCAAACTTATATTTACTTATAACTATTTTTAAATTTTTATTTATTCTTTATTTTAAATTGATTAATTGTCTTTTATTTATTTACTTTTGATGTTATTTTATATTAGAAAAAAATTTATACTCCTTCACAAAATATTATAATTAATACCTGACCGGTGCCACCTATCAAAACAGTTTTAAAGAATTTAAGTACATTTGTTTTGTTCCATGAAAAATTATTTATTTTTATTATTATTTACTTTGTTGATTTTATTGTAAATAAAACGACCGAATTAACTTACGTGTATTTTAGTCGAGAAAACTCGATTCGGCCACCCGGGAACCTTACTCATCAGCAGCTATGACACGAATCCGATTGTTCATAAATTAATATATTTTTTTATTTTAATTTTTATATTTTTTTAATAACAAACATTTCCATTTTCAATTGCAGCATGTCACGCATATGCATAATTGGCGCTGGCGCAGCGGGCCTCTGCGCCGCCCGCCACCTGCTCGTCGAGCCGTCCGTGGGCCGGGTGGACGTACTGGAGCAGGCCGCCCAGCTCGGCGGCACCTGGGTCTACACCGAGAACGTTGGCTACGACGACTTCGGCCTGCCCATCCACACCAGCATGTACAAAAGTCTACGGTATGAACTACCTACTAGATCTACTAAAATGAAACTATAAACAAGGAATTACATAGAAGGAGTGATAAACTTGTCAATTCAAAGCAGGCTAGTGTACAAAAAATGTTATACGGCCGTATAACCCTACCAAATTCAAATGCAACTTGCTTGCATACTTTCTATATAAACTGTGGCTAATATATAAACTAGTAATGTAAAATTTGTTATTGACAAATAATTGACATACCAAACATTTTCTATACACTAGCCTGCTATGAATTGAGAAAAATAGCAGCTAATGGTATAACTTTCGTCCTTTTTTTACTAATTATATTTGCATAAAAAGAAAGAAGGCAAACATATGATTCACAATTTTTATTTTATCATTCCTTCTATGTCCACTGGTGAACAACATTAAGATACAATAAACAACAGTTTTTATGTTAGACCTTCAGGGACAAATGTGCATCCAATTTCGTGCAGTGGGTGTCGTAAAACCGACTATGGGTGGGCAAGGGATGGGCAGCAGCGTCCCTCTTATCCTATCTTCAACAGACTAACTGCGGTTATAAATCCCCCAAATGGGAGACTTATGTTCAACAGTGAACAGTTAAGGACTGATATGATGATGATGATGATTTGGGCATTCGACTCTCTCTCTCTCTCTACTCTCTATCTAATGTGAAAAATAGTAATTAAATTTTATTCTATGTTATCAATTTCTTTGGCCAAGGTATAATTTTGTTCTCTTGAGTTATTCAAGTTCATAGGCAACATTACTATTCACTACGTGTCTATTGGCTGGGTTATTAGTTTATTTACCATTTACATTTCCGAATACCTTTTCTCGTTATCAGAATTTTCTAGCAATAAAAATACAAATGTATTTCTCTCGTTTACGTAAGCAAAATATATAAAATGTAAACAGATAAAATAGTTTTTGTATTGCGCCGATGAGTGTCACGCGCATCGCACGTCAACCCCATTTCGATACATTTAAACTATTTACTGGTTACTACTGTTACTCCTTTACGACACGGCGTATTGATATGGGGGTCGAAGGCTATCAGGGCCTCATCAGTTGTTAGGAAAACGTCTACTATTACATATGTTCTAGAAACGTTTGTTTTATTGCTTGTTGTTTGTGGTGCCCTGGTAACACGATAAGAATTGTTTTGATGCACATTAGACAAAAGATTCCGTGCACTTTAAAAAAAAAAACTAGCAAATGTTAATCATTTCTCTAAGCTAAGCAGACGTTCAATGAAATTGACCGATTAATCGAACACGTGGTTCAAGGTAATCGATGTAAACTCATGTATTGATAAATCAGTAATTTATTACCATGTTGTCATACGATTACTGTAATCAACAACAGAGGAACATGTTAAACAAATAACCAAAGGTCAGTCAGGAGTCCGAGTAGTCATCTTCTGAACACTAATATATTTATTGTAAGAAATTTTGCCGAATTCAATTTGTTTTTATTTAAACAATAATTTGATGTTTGTAAACTAGTAAATTCACCATGTGCCCACACTTGAGGGTCTTACTTCAAATCTGATTATATCTTAATACATCGTTTATTTCATTAGTTTTAAATCTACGCGTACAAGTAATGGTAAAAAAAAAGACCTACTAAATGTTTATTTTATCTCCAGGACAAACCTTCCAAAGGAAATCATGGGATTTCCTGATTTCCCGATACCGGAGAGCGATAGGTCATACCTCCCCGCTAAGGATATGCTGGCGTTCTTGCAATTATATTCCGACAAGCACGGAGTGACGCCATACATCAAGGTGAGCTTATGCACCATAATAACAAGAATTCATTTTACCATACTTGGACATAATAGATAGGAAAATTACGTGAGGATTCGTTGTTAACCTTGATCAGTTCCGTAATTCTCTATGTTTGCACGGAATTATTAGGAATTAAGCAAAACATTCGTATCTACATAACTGTATTGGTTTAGTTTAAAATCATTAATACTTAATTGATTTTAAATACAGATCTATTAATAAATCATACTGAATAATAAAGTAAGCAAATTGTATAATGGCATTTTATGAAATCAGTTTTTGAAGGTTGTAATGATAAGTTCTTAGATAGAACTAAGAATTTACTTTTTACTTATTCTATGCCATCTAATTTTAATCTTAGTATTTAAAGAATTTGCTCTGTAGAGAAACTACGAAAGAAAAAAAACAATATATCAATTTTGGATTTTAAGCAACATAAACTACTAGGATAACATAATCTCTTAAAACTATGTATATATCCTCTTCCAGTTCAAACACCATGTGCAAGTAGTGAAACCAAAAATGGGTCCTAATGGTGAACTCTGGGACGTGACCTTCAAGGACTTGGCTACATGCGAATCGCAGACTGTCGAATATGACTATGTGTTTGTCTGTAATGGGCATTACAATACTCCATTCATACCAAGTATACCAGGACTGAAGGAATTTGAAGGTGAGTAACACATTTAAATGTGGTAAACTAAACCGAATATTAAAACGTTAAATTGTTATTTTGTTGGCAACTGTAAGCGAATCTTCCTCAGTCTTATGTAATCCTGGTAGCCTACCTCTGTTTAATACAAATTCCGTTAATGATAATAACTTAATAACGTAACTTTTTTTTTATTTATCCAGGTGATGTGATGCACAGCCACGACTATCGAGTACCAGAGATATTCACCGGCAAAAAAGTATTAGTAGTTGGAGCCGGTCCATCCGGGATGGATATCGCTCTGGAGGTCACCAGCGTCTCCCCACGGGTTACCCTCAGTCATCACCTCAAAGAGCAGCCCCGTACCATCTTCCCAGACAACTTAGTTCAAAAGCCTGATGTATTAAAACTGGAGGGAAACAGAGCGTTCTTCCAAGATGGAACTGTTGAGGAGATCGACGTTGTATTCCTCTGTACTGGTAGGTCTAAATTTATTGTGCTTACCTAAGACATATAAAACTTTTATGATGATTATCATCATCACCATCATACGACCATAATTAAATGAAACATTATCTATAATTTATAACTATTTATCTTATACTTCTATTTTATTTATAAAGTCGACCTGACGTGAGAATTCCTAAAAGTTTTCTTTTGTCATAAGCCTATAAGGGGGTTTTGCCAGTAGTTGCCATGCTTGGCAGGCGAGTTGTCAACCGCAGTTAGGTTTTAATGATGATTAAAGAGGGACCCTGCTGCCCATCCCTCTACCATTAAGTTCCCTTAGTCGCCTCTTACTACACCCACTGGTATGGAAGGGATGGCCTATTCTGTGCCGGGAACTCACAATGAATCTTTTCATCTACCTATCGGGCTACTTAGTACATAAGTAACCTTCAAAAAATTTTATACTTCATTTAAACTCAATGCATGATCAAGTCTCCTGATCGTCTGATGTTTTAGTTTAAAATGCTCAACTTTGTGAACAACCGGATACATATCCTAATGCATTGTAGGGAATCAGTGGATACAGATTACTCAGGACTGTGACAGTCTATGAGGGAGGCATATGTTCATCAGTGAACATATAATGGCTGAGATGATGATGATGAACCGAAAACACCTTCACCCAAACGAACATAGAACTGGCTTAATAAAAAAATTATACCAGGACCTCAGAGGCTCAGAGTAGTATGCTTACAAATGCGCTACGAGGTCTCGTCAAATACAGACAAATAAAGCACAAATATTTTATGTTTAAAGAACCAGTTAAAATAGTCTTAGTTTCAATCTTTAATTTTGTCGTCAGGCTACCTCTACAACTTCCCGTTCCTCCACGAGTCGTGCGAGATCGTGGTGGAAGACAACTGCGTGGAGCCTCTGTACAAACACCTCGTCAATATCAATCACCCGACCATGTGCTTCATCGGCGTACCTTACTACGTCTGCGCATTCTCAATGTTCGACCTACAGGTACACTACTCATTTAAAATTTTTACACTAGACACTAGAAATTGCAAAGAAACTAATTAAAGGACAGACATACTCGTATGTCTATTACCCTTTTATTATAGTATGACTTATCAAACTTATTATATAATAAGTTTGTTAAGTTTGATTAGTTAAGTCACTAGGTTTCTTGATTTTTATAAACTGTTCAAAACAAAGCAATATAGACAAATATTAAGATTGTCTTTCACTATAATAACTGACTTAAATTATGGCAAACCCAGTTATGTTGATTTATAAATTAAACTACTGATTTTGAAAAAAAATCTTTGGGACTAATCTGTTAGTATAGCCTTTCAAATAAAAAAGAATTTTCTAAATCGGTTTCTAACTGACGGGAGTTATAAGGTAACAAACATAAAAAAATACAACCGAACTGAGAAGCTTCTACTTTTTGAAGTTTGAAAGACTACTTTAAAATGTTTTAAAGGAGATCAAATCCTGTAATATATATATGTAGCTAGTTACTATATGACATGAAAGCTACATAATGAATGTCAAGATTTTGTAATATTTCTATACTTACCTGCTAGGATTTGATTTTTCTGTCAAATATTTTTTTTAAATCTATTCCTTTTAATCAGGTACGATACTACGTACGTTCGATGAACGGCACCTTCAGTTTACCAACGAGGCAGCAGATGGTAGAACACTGGGAGGAGGAGAAGATGGACCGCGCCGCCAGGGGATACACCAAACGGCAAGCACATATGATGGGGCCAGATCAGGTAAATAAATTATTTTAGATTTTGTTCCATAAAGAACAGTTCACTTCATACTCAAAAATAATTAGGATTAACATGGGAGTTAACATTACTTACTTTTTTGAAATCGTCGGAAAAAGGCGGAATTTACCCCATTTTTAGATGCATGGCCCACGACTACTGTTTGTCAGTCGTGCTTCCCTCGTACAATTGGTTTGTGGATTTTCTTCCCTTTGAAGTTTGTACTAGCTACTATATTAATTCATTCATAACGGCCTTTAACTGTACATTGTTGAACATAACCCTCCTCTTGAGAGGGGGGAGGTTTTCAGTAGTTGCTATGCTTGATAGGCAGATTGGCAACCGTAGTTAGGCTTTGGATATATTTAAGAGGGACGCTGTTACCATCCCTCGCCCTCCCTTAGTTTTCTCTTATGACACCCACGGAAAAGGAAGGGGTGGCCTATTCTATGCCGGGACAACACAGTATTATATAGCTACTATTAAGTGTTCATGGGAAACGATAGCCAATTCTCATCAGATGGATCTTCAGCTCGTTTGTCTGCTTTGCAATAAAAAAATATATATATTAGGAATTATCAAAATCTCTTCGGAATTAACAGAGATATCAGGAGAGATCTAGTGGCTTAGTATACGTTAAGGATATTAAAAAGTATTACAAAGTAATAGGTGTCCTTACTAACTAGAAAGTAAATTTGTGTGTTTGTATTCTTATAGCGCTTTAACGGCTTAATTAGTAACTATGAAATTTGGTATACACGTACTATAAAAAATGGAAAAGGATATAGGCTTTTATTTTGATCAATAAACATATTTTGGTCTCACGGACAAAGTCGCGGGTAAAAGCTAATAAATAATTAACCAATTATAAATACTGCACATTAAATATTATAGTAATCTCAACCTTTCTAACATAAATCTTGAATATTTTTTTGTTACATAACAACAATACAACTCAAGCTTGAAAACGGTATTAAAAGTTTTTACAGGATTGGTCTAATTGGCGTCTTTGATACTGTAGACGATCATAGACTTAAAGCAAATGTACTTTTTAAAGCACTCCATCCTGTAGTCCTTTACAAAGACCTTAATAGTGAGTTCATTCAACAACCTGGAGTCCAATCTGTAGTAATAAAGAATATAGATAAAGATATCAATGTTATTACAATAATTACTACAGGTCAAATAACAAGAGCCTTGAACCTTTTACGTCTTGTAGCGTGATCATATCAATAAGTTTAATAAACCAATAACGATTTGCAAGGCTAACGTGTAAGCAAAATAACAATATTATCATTTTACAGTACATATATCTTAAGGGTTAATTTTAATATGTTTAGAAAACATAATACATTCACTCATTACTTCAGGCTAATTACTACATATCCCTATCGGAGGAATCTAAGACAGCAGCCCTTCCACCTGTCTTCACCAAGATCCACAACGACAGTAGTGACAAATTCATGCATAACTTAACTCATTACAGAGATGACATCTACAAAATCATCGACAATGATAACTTCATTTGTATCTAATGTGTACCTCAGGGTATCATTTTAGGGCCATAACTTTAAAGTTTACCATTACTGGTTAAGTCTCTATTTCTCTACATAAATATTGTAGTTTTTATACTAAAAAATATCGTATTAGTTTTACATTATTTTCTCTTATTGCTAAATATAGTATTCACATTATTTTACATTTGTTTTTAATATACTCTCAGAATAACAAGGTAAGAAGTCAATGTAACGTTTACTTTGTCATAATAATCGCGTGTAAAGTCTAAGGACAAGTATATACATATAAAATAAATAAATAAATATAAAAACGATTTGCTCATTATTATTTTACTTCATTTATTTACAATTCTTTTTTCTAATATCACCAGTAAATATTACTTATATAATTTAAGATACCTGACTTAAGAAATATTTACACTAGAATAAAAAAAGAAACATTTCTATGGAAAATTTTTTGATTTTCTTCAATTTCTTGTTTAAGTAAACTTGTAGACCTTTAGGTTCAGGTGCATTATAGTCATTGTCTAATCTTTTCAATAGTACTTACTAAAAAGGTAATCCAGTTTAATTCAAACTCTCTAAATGAAATTAGTAATAAATGGAAACATTTAATCAATTCATTGATATTTGATTTATACTTTTATTGACCATTATCAGTAGACTAAATCAAAAGGATCGGGTCGACTATTAATTTGTTTAGATTTACATTAAGCTGTATTAAAATGCAAGTAAGTTTACCGAAATTCTCTTACTGAAAGGTCCACTATTAGAGGTCTTGGGGGGAAAGGGATTGTTAGTAATGGGGTCTAATAGCCCCATTACTGGCAATATACTCTCTTAGGTTGACCTCCACGCGGTTCCCCCTGGAAACTATCATGTGTTAATTCTTGTCGAATTCATCATGGTGGGCCAACTAACCTGCATTCATTCTCACCTATCATCCTCCACTGGTGCCTCGTCGGTGTATACCGATAGCGCGGGCGGGGTTACCAATCCATTTTCACCCATTAAAAAAAAGTCTTGCTATGCATTCATATAGTAAGTAATTCATGCTTTAAATATCGATTCTTCTCAAGAGTTCATTAAAAAAAAATACTCAGTATCTCGGAATTCTTAAAATTATTCTCTTTATTTACCTACAATCAATCTTCTTTGTATTCTCTTGAACGACTTGTTCAACTTTGTTCGGTCGCAGTTTAAACTAGACGCTAACTTCCTCTGATTTTTCTTTACTACTAGCTTTATCCTGCGGCTTCATCCACGTGAATCAGTATATAAAATATCCTATGTACTAGGATATAACCTACTCGTGTACATCGTTACGAACATTCTTTTTTTTATGTTATAACTATGCTCTGCGATTCTTTCATATATTGCTTTTTGTATGTCCATATCTATGGCTATTTTGTTCTATACTGTTGAAGTTGCTAATAAAATTACAAGTATAAGGATTAAGTAGCATATTTTTAAAATATTTATTATGCGGTAAAAGGATTGAGAGATTCTTACGAAAATTTCTACTGACTCGCCTTTCTAATTAATATTTAAAGGCATCTAAATAAGTACCTAATCTTAATCTTAATTGTCTTAATTCTAAGACAAGTCAGACAGTAAGCTTCTTTTAGGATGAAAAATCGCTAGTTAAGTAATAAACCAATTTTTTTTATTCCATGCTACTACTGTTTACTACAATTTTAAACAGTTCTTAAATACGAGAGAGAAAATAAAACAACAATCAACAATAATTTATTTCATAAATTACAATTAATATTTAATTATATGAATTACCAGGAATCCATAAGTATATAGAAGTAGTAACAACAATAGATTATTCTTGTTCTCCTCGTACTACGTAGGACACAACACGTCTTGATGCAGTTATAATCGAACACTGAAGTGGCCCATACATTAAGTATTGACTCAGATCGATCGATTATTGGGTTATCGCAGTAGCCTTTGGGCCCATGTACAGTCCTTTACATTATTCTATATCATTCATATATTCATATCAGTGATACAAACAAGCTTGTTTACTGCGCCAATTTATTTTACATTATCAGTTCTACAGATATACTGTAACTTACCTAAGAAAAATTGTGTAATATTTAGGTATTCAGACATTATTGGCATAGTTACTAATTAGACCAGTAACTAAGTGAAGATAACATTATTGTTTGGTATTCAACCGAAATATCGGACTCGAGAGTTGCTTACATAAATTACATCGCGACTGTACTTTTTGTGGGCTTGTGTAACTAGCTAACATCCGATGTTTTGGTAAACAAATTGATAATGGCAGTTATTGTAGTACAAAGATGTTGAAATTCTTTCGATAACTCAATGTACATTGACACAATTCATCTTTTTTTAGACTTGCGTATCTATTGTGTTATGCTCTCCTAGTCACGCAATGAATACTAGCCTATTTCCTGACATCAATTTTCAAAAACAGTTGAATGTTTTTCGATATTTCTAATTGTATTAAAAAATGCTATTAGTGTAATTGAAATTGAATTTTGAATTGAAATTTGATATTTAAAAAGTTTCAATGCAAAAGTAAGTAGGTACTAAGTTTTTAATGATAAATTTATATGCGACGTACTCTTTTATATAATTTAATTATAATTTTTATATAATCTTTTATATTTAATGGTTTAGCTCGCTAGCAGAGCGCTTTTCAAAGCAATCAGATAAAAAAAATGTTAAATTGAGTGAACAAATATTATGACAGGAAGTTTTCATGTATAAATAGGTATCAGCATATTAATTGCATTTCTTGTCTGTAACAATTTTAAATGAGTTAAAGACATGCCAAGATTGTTCACACGCCTAATATAAAAGTATAAAAAATATCTACAATACCGACATACATTCACCAGTCGTCGCTATAAATTCAAGGCTCTTGTTTCCACCATATAATTTTACATTACATCAGTTCTTGTAATCTTAATGGATAACAATGCACAAATATAATGGAAATCTCATTCAACTTGTTCTCAGTCGTGAGGTCCTGGTATAGAATAAGCCATCTATTCCTTTCCCGTGGATAAAATCCCCCCCCCCCCCCCCCCCCCCCGTGGGTTTTTCCGTGAGGAAATTATTGATATAGGGATATGCAGCAATGATCTTTTAAAACATTAGATTTCGAATCCTTCGAACGTAGAGTGAATACACAATTTTAATGTGTACTATAATTTTATTATTTTTGGTCAGTTTTTTTTCTACCACGTAAGTGGTTTTTTTGATGGGTGAAAATGGAATGGTAACCCCTCCTGCGCTAACGGGATACGCTGGCGGAGCACCAGTGAAGGGTGATAGATGAAAATGAAAACAGGCCAGTTAGCCCATCATGATGAATTCCCACGTAAGTGGTTACCGTAGCCTATGAACACCTGCAATACCAGGTATTCATAGGCTGTTCAAGTTATTATTGATTATTTTATTACTTTATACTTTTCTTGTTTTACTGTAAAACTATCATAAAATCTTTTTATAATTTCTAGAAAATATAAGAAGATTTTATGTATTATTCTAATATATTGTTACGAATAAATTGTATTGAATCTCCAAGGCCTAACTGCAGTTACCAGGGGGGAAAGGGATTGTTAGCAATGGAGTTTAACAGCCTCATTGCTAGCAATATATATATATATATATATATATATATATATATATATATATATATATATATATATATATATATATCTATATCAGGTCAACCTCCACGTGGTTCACCCTGGAAACCATCATGAACAATTCTCGTTGAATTTGTCGCGATGGGCTAATTGACCTACTTCATCCTCACCTATCATCTTTCACTGGTGCCCCGCCGATGTATACCGATAGCGCGGGTGGGGTTACTATTTCATTATCACCTATAATAAAAACTGCAGTTACCAATCCGCCTGTCAAGCGTGGCAACTACTGGCAAAATCTCCCCAATAGTAGAAGACCTATCTTCAACAGTAGACGTACAAAGGCTGATACGGTATAGAATGGTATAATGAAATCTCTCATTCAACTTGTTACAGGAGAAATACTACGCGTCACTGGCCTCTGAGGCTGGCACCAAGACCCTCCCTTCGGTCCTCACCAAAATAAGAGAAGAGAGCTCGATTCGTTTCCTACACAACCTGAAGCACTACCGCCAAGACGTTTACAAGATCATCGACGATGACACATACGAAATAATAAGTAATGGAAAACGTGAAATTCTTTGTTGACCCTAATTTGAGTACTTAATAACTAGGGTTAAGTTTAGGTTAGTTTTAGTCTAAGCTAGTGTTCGACAAGTATAATAAGGTATTGAGATGAATGTAAGATTTTTTTTTATATTTACAACGTGCTTTCACATAATTAATTTATTTTATGTATAATTAATAATGTTATTATTGAATTATTAATTAATGACTTTTGAAAAGATAATTTTAAAATAAAACACATTATTCAGCCAAAAATATTTTATTTAAGCGTATTTATTTATAATCTTTATATTATCAATGCTGATATATTATTAATCTTTAAAACTAATATTTTATGGCTTCCCCTTCTAATGATCTGGATAAGGATAATTCACGAACTTACAACAAACTCTATATTAATATGAAGTCAAAACAACAGTAATGACATACACACACACGTGAGTTTGTTGTGCGTTCGTGCAATTGAACCTAGCGTTAGTGTGCACACACTGGGCCGAGCCATTGTCGTTCATCAACAAGTTTGTACTTATCATAATAATAACTTTGCATCAGATATTTTCACTTTTAAAAATAATAATCACTTTACGATAATACAAAAATACCACTTTTTTCAATATTTTCCCCCGATTTTTATTTCTCACAATAGGTATATATATTTTTTTGTCTTTATTTTTTTTTAGGTTCCAATATAACATGTGTTTTTGCTCATTAATTGAAAGTGAAATATCATTAAAAATAAACTTACAAAATAAACAATGTTTAACCTAATACGTAATAACAAAGTACTATGCACGCAAAAACATTAGAGTAGAAGGTCCGATAGTTGTGACCTGCCAATTGGCCACAATACCAAACACAATTGACTTATTAAAAATAGAAAAAAGAAAAAAAAAAAAAGAAATATTAAACAACTACATCCGTTCGTTTAACATTAACGATATTAAGGCTGAATCATTTCCAACTATTCTTATAAACTCCATTGGCCACGTCGTACAAAACCTACCTACATTCCTACCCTTGGTCGACCTAGCTACATCCCTGTCTTGTCAGTCCCTTATTAATTCTCGATATGAGTAAGGATAAAGAGCAGGGCTTCGATCATACCCTGTACAAACTATATGAGTAACGTAAAGAAGAATTTTTGTAATCATAAAAATGGCAACGTTTTAGACCAAGCATAATTTTTTGTTTTTTTTTTTTTACCAAATTAAAATTATTACGTAATGTAAAAAGTACAATACAATTGTAAATGTATATTTGTAAACTTACATACTGACTACATTTTGAAACTATTTACAGTCTTAACTATAGAGAAATAAAGATATAGTATATCAAGCGTCTAGCACCATTTAGATATAAAAGTACACTATAATCAACATAAAATTATCAACCAAAAAGAAAAAAAAAAAGAAAATAATAATAATAATATAAAATCAGTGAAAAACAATATAATATAACAAACAGTTCCCCATTTTGTGAAACTAAATATTTTACGCAGATATTCCTCGTACACGACTAAGAGAAATGACTGGATAATTTTGAATAAAGGGACTAGTTGAAAACAGTATTGCGTTTCGAAGAGAATAGACATTTATAATATAACTACGTATACATAAAGATCTAGGAGATATAATATAATATACATGGGAGATACGACTACCTATACACTGAGATTACAGCGTTACACGTATAAAAAATAAATCACATATCACCAATTCGCTCGCCCGATCTCCTCAGCCAGTCCACAGTCTATTGTCGTAATCACCTTACCCTTCAAACTCGGCCCATACAAGGTTTCCTCGAAACGCCAACATTGCAAACGGTATACCACTAAAATAACTCAACAAGGGTAACTTTAACATTTAGTCGTACGGAAACAGTCGCCTCTAAGGGCGGCCGATTGAGAAAAAATGTCACAATTTGAGCCTCAAAAATCTACATTGTACTTTAAGGACCTGTATAGTGAATCTCGAAGCTACGTTGAACATTCCACGAGTTTAAATTACAAGAACTTCAAAAGAATCTACCGAAATACACTCTAACATCGAGATATACATAGTAAAATCGTGTACTTTGAACTTATCTAAGTTATATTTTTTTATGAGAAATAATATATTTAAGACCAAGTTGATTGCACTGTAAAACAAAATTGACAATTACTGTAGTTATTGTTACCAGTATGTCAGAACAGTTTAGGAGGTTGGTTTGCTCGCGAAAGGTATGTCTGGTTCAAGTCGGAGAGTTTGCTGCGTGGGGTCGTAGTGACCGGCCAGGTAGTAGACGTCGTTGTTGTCGTAAACGGTGCTGTATTTGACTGGGTCGTCGCCCATGCGCTCCTTGTACTGCGCGAGCGGCAACACCTCGCACTTATGTGATATTGTTTGGACGTCGTTCTCGTCAGTATGTGGGGACTCGAATAGACCTCCCTGAAAAAAATGAAAAATAATATTGAATATTGAGAGTTACTGTCATAAATTACCACATATTATGAAAGTGACAGAAAAATTTATATGCAGGTATAATTTTTTTCATTCTTTCAACTGCAATTTTAATACATTTTTAAATTTTCAAATAAACACAATCATATAAAAGGTGTGTCCCGGCATAGAATGGACCACCGTATGGTGGAGGGATAGGCAATAGCGTCTCTCTTAAAACATCTTTAAAAGCCTAACTGCGGTTGCCAACCCGCTTGCCAAGCGTGGCAACTACTAGCAACATTCCTCTTATGGAGAAGGCTTTTGTTCAGCAATGGGTAGTTAACGGCCGAAATAAAAAAATAAAAAGTAAAATCCCTTAAAAAATTTAAAAATAAAAAAGTCTTCATGTAACTGTACAAATATTTTCTCTTGCTGCATTATCATCAGCAGTATTACCACTCCTATGATTTCACTGTCATAATATCCAATATTCTATTCTTTACAGCCATGCAAGCAATGTGTCACGAACGAACGCCAAATATACTATTATGATAAAGTAGTTCTGTGACATTGTGGCAAACTATATTATATACAAAACTACAAACCGGATAATGCAATGGTTCCGGACAACCGGTGGTCTCCTCAGGATGGTAGAACCATTTGACTCGCACGGCCATCGCTCCCCGTGCCTCCCACAGCGCCACTATGCGCCCAATGTACGGCCGGTCCGGGCGGCCAGTCGACAGGAACACCGCTGCGTCTCCCACCTGCAATTAGGAGATCATGGCTTGATTAGATATTGTTTTTATGAAACTTCATTAGAAGGTTGGTGTCATATTGCGGACAATCCGTACATAATGACTCTCAACTGGTAAACCTCGAATTCCAACCCAACCAACCGAATGGAACCCAATTAACCAAAATTGAATCTGATCCAGGACAGCAACGTAATTAAAAAAAAACTTTTAAAGATAAAGCGGTTTCGACAATAAAAGATGACGGGGATATTTAAAAAGAATCTACGGAAGAATAAAAAAAAGAATACATAAAAACAGTGCATAAATATTATAATTTATAGTGCAAGTACTAAGACTTCATAAACAACAAGAGACTTACATGTAGAGTCTCCTCCCCGCGTTGTATAGCACGGTAGAACAGTTTGCGGTGTCGTGGACGCGCGGTTCGGCGGTAGGCCGCGCCCAGCCAGCGCCAGAGTGCACCGCCGGGTAGGAACGCCGCCATCTTGCTTACTCCACCACCACCAGCCACTGCACCACCTTCTGATGAAGTTGACGATACGGTGCGGCGTTTTGTTTTCTGAAAAATTTGTAGTTACCATATAATTAGCACACAGTACATCTAAAGGTAATGTGCAGTTTCAGAGGTGCTTCCTCTCGCGAATACTCAGGTTGTGGAATGCTCTTCTTGCCGAGGTTTTCCCTAGAGACCACAACATGGGCCTCAAAAAAGGCGTATTACGTTTTTTTTTGCATCCCGCGTGACTTCTATGAATGCTTAAAAAGTAGGAAGTTTTAAGAAACTACTGTAACCCCATTCATCATCCGACGGGTCTTATAATAGTATGAAAAAGGTATTATTGCAGTCCAATAATAGATATAACATTAAACGTAGATTACAAATTTCATTATCATATTTCGTCCTGAAAAAACACGAAGAGATGAAACAGTACAGAACTCTAAAACAAAGATTCGTCTCAGAAAAAAAAATAAACCAATGTAGTTTTGATTTCTTACCTTCTTGACACCGTCAGAATTTGAAGTCGAAGGAGTTTCCTCTTCCATTCCAATACCACTGTCTTTTAAATTATCTTTAGACTCCTCATCTTTCTTCGCCACAATATTTCCCAAATTGCTGAAATCTAAAACTGCGTTCTTAACCAAGGCCTTCTTGGGCAGCACAGCCTTTTTAATAACAGTCTTCATTTTGTCATTTGGAGATTTCTCGACAGCTATTAACGTAGACAGTCTATCATTGGAGTCGACAGAATCTTCATTTGATTTGTTGGAATCTATATAATCAGAAGATGACTTGTGCCTCTGGTGGTCATCACCAGACGAGCTAGACTGCTCCTTGCAACTCGAATGATGTCTCTTCCTATGTTTTCTGTGATGTTTCTTGTGATGTCTTCTATGTTTGCAATGTTCTTCGCAACATTTGTGTTTTTTCTTCTTTTTCTTAACATAATCAGAGTTCGGGTCGTCTTCGCTAGAATGGCGTTTCATTTTATCTTTGCGGTGCTTCTTTAGTTTTTTTCGATCTCTATGCCGGTCTTCTTCCTGTTTTTCCTTCTGTGCCGCGTCGGTAGAAGATGGTTTTACTTCAGCGCTCGTAGACGCAGTAGCCTTTTTATCTTCTGTGCTAACACTGGTGTTTCGTCTTCTTTTCCCAAGTGTAAATAGAGGATTTTCATATTCTGTAACAATAATAATACATTTTATTTAGTCAGGAGCTAAATTTGAGTACTGATTCACTTTAATTTTTCATAGTATAAAAATACTTACCAACAACCGGGTAATTGGGCTCCAAAAATCTTATATCTTCAATGGCTATTCTACCAGAGTCGCCATCATCAAATTCTACAGCAACAAATTTATCATCGTGAGGATCTGGCGATGACACAGCTACAGTGCCAGGATATAGACATCTGTACTGTTGTGACCAGTATGCACAGACTCTTGTACCAGATGGTAACTCTGACACCGATGCTGGATTCACTTCGAGAATCTGAAATAATTATAATTAAATTACTGGTCAATAGATATAATATTAAAAAAATATTAGATAGTATCTGGAGATATAAGAGAGAATCTGGCCTTAGTGGGTAAATCATTAATATTTCAATGGGTCTAATATCCAACGTGACTGATATCCAAAACTGTGTGTATATTAAATTTCCGAACAATTCTGTAGTGATGATGTTAAATATTTATCATCACTACAGAATTGTTCATAACAAATCCAATTAGTCCAGAAAGTAGAAGTAACCTCGTTTATGGACATAATAAATATAATCGGTAAATAAATATCTACTTACAGCATCTCTTAAAGTTTCTTCTCTCGATAATATATGAGGTTTGTTCCCTCTCTCTCCGTCTAAAGTAATGGCGTATACATCAGGAGCCTGCACTGCGCTCAGTTTTCCAGCGTAGAACAAGCCTCCCATAGCTGTGAGTACCCGAGGAGAAGAATCCAGTTTATCTTCTGTTAATGTACATTTCGATATTGTTTGTACTACTGGTTGAGGGGTGGGTTCTTTAACCTCATCATTAGTCCTTTCTTTGGATTTAACACTCTTACGTCTCTTTTTAGCACGACGCCTCTCTTTGTCGCTTTCACTTGAACCACTCCCCCTTCGCAGAGCAAATTCAAGTTCAGGTAAATCATCTCTTGAATGTTTTCGAACTAACCGATCAACTTTCTCTCGGTTCTTTTGACGTACTTCATTTAAACTCTCCATGGAAGAACTAGCAGATCTATTAAGGCCCCATTCGGTCTCTTCTTCTTCAGAATGCACTTTCAAAATTGGTTCAGCCTTCAATTTTGGACGAACTTTACTTGTCCGATTAGCATCTTCTCTTGATGGCTCTCCTCTTGAACACAAAATACCTCCTTTCAGCTTGCCTTTAGCTAACAGATAACCAACAAGACTGCTCTTCGATTTCGGTTTTTTTGCAACAATAGTTTCAGTTGAATCAGGACTCGAAACTTTACGAGGTCTACCTACTTTGCGTTTTTTAGAAGAACCTCTATCTGAATCTGGAGACAAGGCAGGAGTAGAAGGCGTTGAAGGAGTCGACAATGCAGGTAATGGTGGAGTTAAAGCGTTTAATTGGGCTCTCTTTTCATCACATTGACGTTGCAAATCTTGTAATCGTTCCCGCATATCTTTTTCTATAGCATTAACAAGAGCATGAGCAGAAGGCACCGTTGATGTATGCGTACAATTCAATGTTCCACAAGAACAACCTGTTACTCGTCGCCAACTAGCTTCTAACTCACCACCACTATTCCTTGCCTCATCTTGTTCCTTTTCACGTTTATGTCGTCGCATCTTTTCTAATTTATGCCTCAATCTGTCTTCCCTATCTCGACTTCTTTTTCTTCTTCTTTCACTTGAAGAATCGCTATCTTTTTGCCTGTGTCTTTCTTTTTTAGAAGATTCAGCCGATCTATCTCTATCAGTGGGACTGAGTAGGGGCTCACTTTTAATAAACGGACGGGAAGACATACATAAATTTTGTGAAGGGTTTTCCACTACTTCTTCCCTAAATCTTTGCTCTGCTAATGCACATAATAACCCCAAACCATCAAGAGACGGTTTAGTTCTCTCACTAGTACTCGGCTCTGTTGTTGGAAACTCAAATCTTCTACTAGGTTCTATTTCTGAAGTCCGAGGTGGTGATTTCGGGGAAGTTTTTATCATTATGTTCAGTTTCGAAGTGGTTCTTGTATCAATTGTCAAAGGTACCGGTGCATCTAAAGTCGGCATACTATTTCCAGGTGTTGTTCGTTCAAATTGTTCTATGCTATTAGAAAGAAGTTCCAATCCGCTGACGTCGACCAAAGGTCGTGATGGTGGTAGTTGTGACAATGATTGAGACGTAGGTGAAGTGCTTGCCGTGTCAATCATTAAATCATGAGATCCACCGCTACTGGAGTTATCCACAAGAGCTTCATCCCTTTCTATTGCATCTATAGCTTTCTCCACCGCACCAACTACAGCAGAATTTGCAAGCCCTTCTGAAGACGATTCTTCGGCACTATCGATCGGTGGAGCTTGCAATATTGGTGCCGTAGTTTGTACCATAGTAGATTCCTCAGGGAAATGAGCAACACCGATACATGCAACATCTCTTTCATCCTCATCTGCTTGATTTGGCGAATCATCATCGTCGTCGATGTGATCTGTTTGATTCGAGGCATCTTTATGCGCTGGAGTTTCAGGAACTTCAGGCGGTGGAGTAGGCGGAGCAGCCGGCGATGTCGCCTGACTTCTGCAGGCTTGTTCCGCGAAATCAGGTTGATAATACAAATGAGTCGTGGTAAGAATTGGTTGTTGCACTGGTTCTGGAGCAAATTGAGGCTGCGGTTTTTCCTGCGGCGGTTCCGGTTCTATTTTTATTAAGGCGTGAGATGTTAAAAGAGGTTGGATTACTTTTCTTTTGTCAGCTGTATGAACTGGATGGGGTTGGGGAGCAGGCGCAGGTGCTAAAGTCACTAATCGGGTTGAATGTGTATGTGTGTGCTGCAAAGTTGCAGTAGAGGCGAGAAGATCTCCAGGCAATAGTTGGAGATGAGAAGGGTGCGGTGCTGGAGGTAAGAGAAGAGGGGCGGAGGGATAAGGAACACCGCCCCAAACTACGGTGTGGGGCAGATCCGGTGGAGACGGCAGCAGGAGCAAAGCGCCTGTGGTGGGCTCGCGAACCAGTTGGTAACCACCCACGGATGAGACGCCTCCGCCGACGGGACCCACGCCACCGACTCCCACGCCGCCCACCATCATGCTTTCCATGGACATTTGAGCTGGAAAATGAAATAATTTAATTTTAATTTGACGTTCCACTATCATTACACAAATTCTTTGCGTGTTAAGCACAGAGAATGGACTGCTAAAGAAGTTATTTTACGTTTTTTTCTTCTTGCTTCATGCATAAACGGGTTTTAAAATTTATTTAGTCCAAATATAAATAATTATTCTGCAGCAACGGGTTCTTGAATGGTAATCCCGTACAAACGCAGTGTAGGACGATCCCCCATTAGACGGAGCGACGACCTCAAATATATTACAGGGATCAGCGGATGCAGTTCGAAACTGTTCCTTGGTGTTTCTGGCAGTCTAAGGAACGCTTATGTTCAGCAGTGGACAGATAACAGCTGAGATAATGATACTATACGAATGCTTCTTTTAGAAAAACTAATAAATATCTATTAGAAACAGAGTTATTGTATAGATTTCTCCACCACTTTCTACGACTTTAAGGGCTTATACAAACCAGCGACTTTTATCTACGGATTGTTGGCGACAGACCTCTTTTTATATAAGTTTATCTTTTAGATTTATATTTTTATATTATGAATATGTCTTTTTGATAACTATTTTGTTTTTCTACTTGATTGATATATTATTGTTATATTGTGTACGTCTTAAGAAATTATACTGGTAAGCCTCTCTCTATATTATTATTTTATTATTGTCGCTGCCCTCCTCTCCTACCAGCGCCGTTTCTACAGATGGAGGACCAAATTCCTCGTTGCATCAACTGGGCACTAGCCGACGATTTCTGTACTTTGTTGAATGCAATTCTACATCAGTACGAGTATCAACTATTTATGTTTTATTTTGACGAACTATAAAATAAGGCCTGAATTACTATTATACTTTATACGTCCGTCAAACACCTAATTATATTCCGGTCACATATATTATAACTACGTAGTCATAAGTTTATAGCATTAACAATCCCCATCATTCCATACACGAACCAAACTCGATCGCGGTCAAAAATCATAAAAAATAATAACATAATAAATTGAACTTCAATACAGGCAACCCACGCCGCGTCCCTATCATAACGCAATGACCACTTAATCCCCCCACTTAGATGTTATTCCTTGAATAAACATTATACTAGGACAGCATAACTAATGAGTAGTAGATAGAGGTAGCCAATCAGTATGCTGTGGCTACATTTCCGGAGGTTTGTCGGAATGTCGAGCTGTGACCAAAATGTGAACGACGAGCTGTACTCGTATTCTAGAGTAGTGATAGTTTTAATTTGTTACGCATTGTTTTGTGCGGTCCATCTCCTGATATTTATGTTTTATTATTATCATATTAGCCGTTAACTGTCTTATGTATATATTTATGTAGTCTTAATTAAATTTGATAATACTTTTATTATGGGCAAAATTCAAATTTCAAATAGATCCTACCAACTCCATCACTATAAATGGAAGAAATAAAGTAGGTATGATATATAATTAAATATTATTGTTAGAAATCGGCATTTTATTTGAATATAATTAAAGATTGTGTTTCTATTTCGGCTATTTCGATACAAAAACTAAAATACTGAACAGATTTTGATAAAATCACTACGGGTCGAATCTGTAAATATATTTTTTTTTTAGATACATGAAGCCGTTTTACTTACGTACTAGGTAAATACGTTGCGATTGGGATTGTTGGTAATGGGGCCTAAAAACCCCGTTGCTTACTATATACCTTATTGAGATCTCCACGCAGTTCCCCCTAAAAGCCATCGTGGTTGATTTTTGTGGAATTCGTCACGATGGACAAACTGACCTGTCTTTATCCTTCATTAGTGTCCCGCCAGTGTATACTGATAGCGCGATAAAACTACGTATGCAAAACTATAGATACAGGGGGAGAAGGGATTGTTAGCAATGGATTAGCAGCTCCATTGCTAGTATTACACCCTATCAGATCGACCTCCTCGTGGTCCGCCCTGGAAACCATCGTGCTCAGTTCCACGTGAATTAATCATGATGGCTTAACTGACCTGTCTTTACCCTCACAACATACAAACTGCACAAAATCTTACCTACTCATCAAATATTTTTTTTTTATACAACTTAGAATGGCAAACAAGCTGACGGCCCACCTGATGGAAAGTGGTAACTGTCGCCTATAAACATGAGCAGTACCATGGACATAACAGAGTATACTGTTTCGCCCATGATACCCCCCATGCGTTGCCATTCCTGAGGACCGCGTGGAGGTCGACCTGAGAGGGTCTATTGCTAGCAATCGAGCTATTAGACCTCATTACTAACAATCCCTTTCCCCCCTGCCAAAAAGGCTGGAACATTGATAATTATATGTTCACCTAAATAGATAAAAGTACCACGGCGCTGGTAAATTTAAGGTAAACACCATATCCGTGGTAACAATTATAACACTCCGATCTGTACAATGAAATTGTTTAACGCGACCATCAAAACACCATTTACACACGGCGTACGCACGAAATGTAGCGAGACGCCCCAAAAGTTATTAGGCCGTGAATACACTAGGTGTATTACATTAATTTATATGAAAACTAGATAATTACTCGCTATCAAATTGTTCTTAATTTTTTTTTTATACAACTTAGAATGGCAAACAAGCTGATGGCCCACCTGATGGAAAGTGGTAACCGTCGCCTATAGACATGAGCAGTAGCATGGACATAACAGAGTACATCGTTTCACCCATGATACCCCCCCATGCGGGGGGAAGGGATTGTTAGTAATGCGAACTATCAGTCCCATGGCTAGCAATATAACCTATCAGGTCGACTTCCATCTGGAAACTATCGTGCTGAATTCCAGGTGTATTCATCACGATGGGCCAACTGACCTGCCCTTTCATCCTCACTTATCACCCCTCACTGGTGCCCCGCCAGCGTATACCGTTAGCGCAGGCGGGGTTACCATTTCATTATCTTGACATAGCGTTCCAACCAGGACTCAGGTGTTATTCCTCTGTATCCTGTAAATTCACGCCATATTCCACCCTTCAAACCGAAACACAGACATGCAAACACAACTGCTTTACGGTAGAAACACGAATGGGACAGAGGTACCCAAGCAAACGACTTTTGTACAGTCTCCCACTGGTGAAAACTCTAATTGATTTAGACTCCGATTCGATTGTTTTAATATTCATTTCGCGTCTCTATTTTAAAAAAAGCTGATCAAGCGAGAGTCGGTTTCGCGCAACGAGGGTTCCCTACAAAATCATGATGTGTTTTTTTTTTAAATAACTATATACTCTGTTATGTCCATGGTACTGCTAATGTGTATAGGCGACGGTTACCACTTTCCATCAAGCGGGCCGTCAGCTTGTTTGCCATTCTAAGTCGTATGAAAAAAGAGATCTCTTTCAGAGATAAGTCCTCCCTTGCTAACAAGTTGTTAAATTAATTGTCGAATATATTGTTTTAGTGCAATAAAGAATATATAAATTTACAGATTTCGAACTTTTTTCTTTACTTGTTGATATTGCTTCTTGCCAAATTTCATGACTCTAGGTCAACGGGAAGTACCCTATAGGTTTGGATTTCCTTTGCGAATGTCAAAGTATGCAATATAAATGGAACATAAACGATCGTATGTTTTGATTGCGCCGATTCAGAAGCTTGATTTTTTCACTGCTTTAAGAGATTACAGATTTGAGTACATGATATTAATTTTAACTCGATACCTCCACGTGTTCCTAAGAAAAAGGGACTTGACAGCCGGACGGACAACGAAGTGATCTTATAAGGGTTTCGTTTTATTCGGATGAACGAAACCCTAAAAAGAAATGGAGATGCGCGCAACGCACGTGTGCGATAAGGATGGAGCATATAATTATTTCAAATTGATGATACTGAGATACTGTGATTGATTGGTTTATAATATAAAACGTGACATGAATACGAAACAGATTTAGATGTAAAAAAAATGCCTTTTTAATAGGAACATTTTAATTTTTTTTTTTATGGATGATAATGAAATGGTAGGGGCTACCATTTCATTATCATCCTACCTACCCCGCCCTGCCCGCGCTATCGATATACGCTGGCGGGGCACCAGTGAGAGATGATAGGTTAGTATGAAAAGGCAGGTCAGTTAGCCCATCGTGATGAATAAACCAGGAACAAATTTTCAGGGGAGACCACCTGGAGGTCGACCTGGTTGGGTATATTGCTAACAATGGGGCCCTTAGTCTCCATTTTTTTTGATGGGTGAAATGGAATGGTATCCCCACCTGCGTTATCGGTATACACTGGCTGGACTGAAGGATGATAGATGCGTATGAAAGCAGGTCAGTTAGCCCATCGTGACGAATTCAACGATAAATTAACCATGATAGTTTCCAGGGGGAACCGCGTGGAGGTCGACCTGGTTGGGTATATTGCTAGCAATGGGATTCTCAGTCTCCATTACTAACAATCCCTCCCCACCGCGCCCTACCGATTTAACCAATTAATGTGAAATTTAGTATACACGCACTACATGGGAGGGAGAAGGATATAGGCTACTTTTTATCCCGGTCAATAAATACACCAGGTCACACGAACAAAGTCGCGGGTAAAAGTTAGTTACACTATAAAAATAATGTTCGAAGTAGGAGATGTTCACTTTCAGGTCGCGTCCGCTTCGTGATTTTCCAATCGCACAATAATAATTGGAATATAATTGTTATATTTTAATAATATATTTTTACTTTATTTTCAACGCATGGGGGGGTATCATGGGCGAAACAGTATACTCTGTTATGTCCATGGCACTGCTCATGTCTATAGGCGACGGTTACCACTTTCAATGAGGTGGGCCGTCAGCTTGTTTGCCATTCTAAGTTGTATAAAAAAAAGAATATCAATTAAAGTAAATAGATAAATAGTTTATATTAATTTACTATCAGATATCTACTAATGATAGAGTGACGACCTCAAATGCGTCGCAGGGAGTCAGTGGATGCAGGTGGCTCAGGACCGTTCTTTATGGCAGTCTATGGGGGAGGCCTATGTCCA